AATATTTTTATATTTAGTGCATGTTAGTATTTCTGTCAGCATTGTTTGCTGTTTAAATTATAAACCAGTGTTTTTATAAATCCTGAATAATTTCCTCTTAAAGCACCTACTCTGCTGTACTCTAGAGAAACTATTTGTTTGCTCTAAACTAAACTTATTGGGATTCTTCCAGTTATGACTATTGCCCTGTACTAAAAGTAGTGTTTCTTTTTTCAAAGGTACGCCAGCCTGTCATATGCATCAACAACCATGTATTTTGTTCAATTTGTATCGATTTGTGGTTGAAGAATAATAGCCAGTGTCCAGCTTGCAGAGTCCCCATCACGCCTGAAAATCCTTGCAAAGAGATTATTGGTAAGGGCCTATTTTATAAACACATAAAAACAGATTTGAAACAATCTCTAAATAGTGTATATTTGGAGAAAGACTAAAATAGACAATTTTCACTGATGTCATTTTGCCACTGTCATACTGGATGGATTGGTCATTTGTATAATCTGTAAGTGAATACATGAGTGGCACAAGCCACTATGAGAAATCTTAGAGCTTTGTGGAACTAACATTATGGTAAGAGGCTGTGCATGTGGACCAAAGTATTAATGGTTTAAAGCAGCAGGTGTTAAAGGTCAAAGAGGCCCATAGAGTTCAGGCAAGGAAGTTCAGCTGGGAATATCAAGAAAGGCTTCATAAAGCACGTGGCCTTAAGAGATTTAAGAATGGATAAAATTTCAACTGGTAAAGATTAGGGAGGGCATTTCATACAGAGAGAATAGCATGAACTAAGGATTAGAAGTAGGAAAACACAAAGCATGTTGTTAGAAATGATCAGTAGTTAAGTTTGGTCTGACTACTGAAATAAGACTGAAATTATAAATTGAGACTTTAGTGCAGAGAATCTTGAGTAATAAACTAATTCAGGGACTTGCTCTGTGGGTGAAAAGAAGAGTAGAGTAAGCTGATGGTTTTGAACAAGGGAGTGGCAAGATCCAAAATGTGCTTGAGGAATGATATGTGAGTTGGGTTGAAGGGGAGAGACACAATGTGAGTATGTCAGGTAGGAGGCTGTAGCCCAGTTAAGGGGGAATGTGAGTCTGGTTTAAGGATAAAAAAGAACATTCAGTGCAATACCAGTGTGGGTAAAAGGGAGATAAAACTTGAACTAGAAGATCCTTGAAAAATTAAACATTTAAAGAGCGTTTTTAGTGTTTGGATTTTATTCTGCTCACATTAAGTTATCATTCTTAGATTGCAGAAATTAAAATGATTTTTACTTGTTTCTTGCTTTACGAAAAATTGAAAGTGAATCTATCATTGGCTATGTAGAGAAAACACATTTCAGAAAATGTAAGAAGTCATTGTAATAATCCCAACTTAGGGAAAATGGACTTAGTAAGATTTTTACAGTGGAAATGGAAAGGAAGATAAATACCAGAACAAAAGAAGAACTAGTAGGACTTTGGAACTAAGAAATCCAAAGGAGGAATCAGAGATTATTCCAAGGTTTCTTTCTTGGTACTTGGGTGAAATCTGGTAGAGGAATATTTTTCTGTTGTGAACTTTGATGATTAAAATAATTTGAATGTGTTTTCCCCAGCTTCTCTTCACATACCTTCTCCTGCCTTCATATCTAAGTGATATTTCATAAATTCACTCAAGTAAAATAGTTCACTCATCCTTGTATTTGGATAGAATGTCCTGAAAAAGAACATCTGTAAAATGCCTTTGCTGTCATGATACTAAGAAGTACAAAGAAAGTAACCACAGCATAGTTGACGAGCTCTCAGAAAGAAATCATTTTGAGTGTATTTGTATCGCGTTACGGGCATACAGTTAATGCTGTGATTCATAATCCATCGTAACTGGGTTGTTAGATTCAGTTAAAAGATGCGTTAATCTTTTCATTTGTGTTACCAGTAACTAGGTATGTTTGAATATTTTGGTTATAATAATATATATATCATAATATGAACGCATATATAGAGATAGATAAACATATTAGATAATTATTTATGTGAAATTTAAATTGATAATATGGATGATGTATTAATTGGTTAAATATAAATATAAACATTAGTTTTATTACCACTTAACTGTTGTCTGGTATTCAAACTTTGCAGTAGTCCAAATGTGATAATTAACAAAATACAGCCTTTGCCTTCATTGAGTTTATTATAATAAGATACAAAGGTAAGTAAACACCCATGATATTTTACTGAAGGTATTATGGTGTTATTTGATACTTACCTTTTCTCTAGATTGAGATAGAGAAAAGGCCTAGGTGGTAGCCCCAAGTGTGTATATAAGGGAAAGGGTAGAAATTAAGCTGGAGAAGTATATAAGACAATAAGAAAACCGTTTATCTTTGTTTTTATACTGCCTAAATCAGAATAAAAGTTAGATTTTTTTTTTCCCCTTGTAGGAGGAACAAGTGAAAGTGAACCTATGCTAAGCCATACAGTCAGGAAGCACCTTCGGAAAACTAGACTTGAGTTACTCCACAAAGAGTATGAGGTAAATAATAATTATAATTTAAAATGAGGACAACACTGAATTCAAGCTAAAACTGAGCTATCTCAGTCTCTGGACTTCTTAGAGTAAACATCCAATGAAATCTTATTTTAAATGCTATTTTAAAAATATCTTATTTGGGGGCGTCTGGGTGGCTCAGTCGTTAAGCGTCTGCCTTCGGCTCAGGTCATGATCCCAGGACCCTGGGATCAAGCCCCGCATCAGGCTCCCTGCTAGGCAGAAAGCCTGCTTCTCCCTCTCCCTCTGCCGCTTCCCCTGCTTGTGTTCCCTCTCTTGCTGTGTCTCTCTCTGTCAAATAAATAATTAAAATCTTAAAAAAAATCTTATTTGAGGGGCGCCTGGCTGGCTCAGTAGAGTATGTGACGCTTGATCCACAGGGTCGGGAGTTCAAGCCCCATGTTAGGTATGGAGCCTATTTAATATCTTATTTGATAAATTTTTTTTCTTTTTCCCTTTTCTATTTCAAATAGAAGACAGGAACAAATATAAGCATTTTTTTTCCTTTTTTTAATTTCAAATTTGTCCTCAACAGACACATCATTTTGTAAGTATTTGCTCCTCAAGTTGGGAGAGAAAAGAAACCCTCTTGTGAAAGTCAGCCTTCCAGCCCCCACAGGGCATTATGAATGCTCTGGTAAACATTGACTGTAACTTTCATTCCGTTTTGTTTGTCTATAAATTCCCTGATAATTCTATGCCTGATTAGTTTTTGTAAAATAAATATACCTATGTCAACTACCAGCAAAGAGATTTTGGTGTGAAATATGCTTTTTTCTTTTTTTTTTTTTTTTTTTTTTTGCATGTTAACCAGTGAGGTTATTTTTGGTTTTGTTTTTAATAAAAATTGTGTATATTTGGGGAACCTGGGGGGCTCAGTTGATTAAGTGTTTGACTTCATAGGCTCAGGGTCTTGGGATGGAGCTCCATGTAGGTCTCCCCGCTCAGTGGGGAGTCTGCTTGTCCTTCTCCCTCTGCCCCTCCTCCCCTCCTCCCCGCTCGTGCTCAAGCTCTTTCTCTGTCTCTATCTCAAATAGTAAAATTTAAAAATTGTATATATTTATGTGCCCACAACATGATGTTTTGATATACATATCCATAGTGAATGATTGTGCTAACGAATGATTGTGCTAGCTAACTAACATAGCCATCTCCTCATGTACTTTTATTTTTGTGGTGAGAGTACCTGAAATCTACTCTGCTAGCAAATTCCAGTATTCAGTACAGTATTAAGTATAGTCATCATGCTCTACATGAGAGCTCTAGACTTATTTATCCTACATAACTACAACATTGTACATATTGACCCATCTCCTTTCTCCCAACTCTACATTTCCCCTACCTCCCCACCCTGGGTAACCACTGTTTAACTCTCTGCTTATATATATCCAGTTTTTTTTAGATACCTCATATAAGTGAGATCATGCAGTAGTTTTCTTTCTTGGGAAGGTGATTTAATATGGTGATGGAAATTTTCCAAATTAGCTTCATGCTAATGGAATATGTATGTTTTGGGTTTTTTTTTTTTAAGGTTTTATTCATTTATTTGACAGAGAGAGAGAGTACGCATAAGCAGGGGAAGTGGGAGAGGGAGAAGCAGGCTCCCTGCTCATCAGGGAGCCCAATGCAGGGCTCAATCCTAGGACCTTGGGGTCATGACCCAAGCTGAAGGCAGATGCTTAAGGGACTGAGCCACCCAGGCACCCCTGGAATATGCATGGTTTTGAATAGTAACCATTAAACCCAGTTGTTATTTTATGTTGACTAAAGAGGGGATGTTATTAATCTCTTATTTTAACACAGAATATTTTTAAGTTAAAGTATAACATGGAAACTGCTTCAGTTGCCTCAAAAATATTTTGAAATAAAGTGGGGCATAAATAAATGACTGCATAAATGTTCATTCATATATGTTTTCCAATTCATATTTGTTTATTAATGTATTAATTCCAACAAAAAACTTACTTTCTTATTTTAAAACACAATTGAACTTGACATGTACTGTAATTTAAAGTAATAAATAGTACTGTCTGTTAACTCTAAAATGTATTCTTACATACTTAATATTTATCGTACTTAGGTATTAATCAGATTAATCCTTTAAGAGTTCACTGGCATATTGAACTACTTGGAGTTTATTTTCTAACAACAGAATTTCTAACAATCTTAGTTTAAGATGAAATATCTATTATAGATTAATAAATGGTATCACAAAAAAGAGTTCTAGACCAAATGTTTAGTAATTGGATTTAAGACAGCAGTTCCAGATGGGGAAAACTAATACTTGAAATAGTCACAGTGGTAATTGAAGAACCAGAATATAGAAAAGTTAAAGTAAAACTAAAAATTAACCACACGTATTCTGAAGGAAAGTGGAAGGACATGGTATAGGGTTACACTCTACTTCAAATGCAGAAGCAAAAATGTAAACATCAAACAAAACTATTATGACCTTGATCAACACCGTCTCTTTTTAATTCCCCTTACTAAAGCAATTAAACATGCCTAAGAATTTTCTTCTGCGGAATCTACTTCCTTGTTGAATTCACGTGACTTGTCTTGTTTTCTGGCTTTCTTCAATAAAATCAAAGATCTGACATTTTTATTTTAATTTTATTTATTTTATTTTATTTTTTAAGTTGGTTCCGTGCCCAGTGTGGAACCCAGTGCAGGGCTTGAACTCATGACCTTGAGATCAAGAGCTGAGCTAAGATCAGGAGTCGGATGCTCAGCCAACTGAGCCACCCAGGCGCCCCAACATTTTTATTTTTTTAACTACAAACTATCGCTGAATTAAAATGAAAGCAGTGGAAATGCCAGCTTTTACCAGAGTCAAATACATTTTGAGAATTTCAGCTGTATGTGACTTTCTGCCTACAAAGCTATTCTGATGCATAATGAATCTGTGTACCTACAGAATTTTGAGTATAAAATTTAAAAACACATTGACTTCAGTTTAGCATATATATGTGTTTAGTATCTGTGTCTATCTAATGGCCATGCAATTCTTTTTCAGGATGAAATAGATTGTCTGCAGAAAGAAGTAGAAGATCTTAAGAGTAAAAATCTCAGCTTGGAGTCACAAATCAAGACTATTCTGGATCCTTTAACCTTGATGCAAGGCAACCAAAATGAAGACAAGCATCCAGTTGCAGATAATCCAAGTAAAATTGACCCAGAAACTGTAGCAGAGTGGAAGAAAAAACTTAGAACAGCTAATGAAATCTATGAAAAAGTAAAAGATGATGTGGATAAGTTAAAGGAAGTAAGTTGTGGTTATTTTTTAGATTCTGCTGTGGTTTTTAAAATTCTGTATTTTAAGTACCTTCAAAAGTAAAATAGCCATATTATCTTCACTCATTAGAAAATTTTTGGGGAAGGACAAAAATCTCTGGATGAGCATTTATAAGCAGTAGAACTTTTTTCTCCTTAAATGTCATTAGCTGCCAAGAAATATCAGGTCATTCCATTTGTGACCATAATTGGAGACTGTAGTGCTTTTGTATGAGTTTGCATCTTCTTGTAGAAGAGTGACATCAGTTTAAAGGATGTGTTTCTATTTACCCTCTTTGTGGTTTGCCTTAATTTTTTCTTAAGCTTATGTCAGTGACTGCCCTATATGCATAAAAACAAATGTATTCAATTCTCTACCTATAAAATGGAAGGTTTGGAACATATCTTTTCTAATACTACCATTCTCTGATTTTTAAGATTGTAATTAAAGACTGAATGACTAATTCCAAGGAAGCTTTGAGTAGCTGCTTTGGAATACTCCATGTAAGAAAGTATTGTAGCTTATGAAGTGGGTTCATTTTTTGCAGTTATTCTTCCTTTCACCCAACAAGATAAAGCATAGGTGGAAAAGGCAACCTCTAGGCTTTTTCAGTCTAGGAAAAGAGATGAGATCCATGCCGTCAGTATGACAGGTTGTTATAATCAAGTGCTGTAGAGTTTTGTTGGCCAGAGGGACCAGCCTTTGGCTTTCATTTCAAGTTTATCCACAGCGGAGTCCTGCTGTGCTGTATGGAGTTGGTTTTGTGGTATCCATGTCCACAGCCGCCCATTTAACCTGTCTGTATTCACTTAAAATATTGTTACTGTGTTGAATGATTGAGTCCTGCCTCCTTGAAAACATTAATGAGCTCCTTAAAGAACTACCACCACATACTGACACCCAGATCCTCAGTGAAGCTGAATAGCATAGCAGTGTGCAACTTAATGTAAATACTAAGCCATCTTCACATATCTGCCTATAAAATAAATGTTGTTTGAGCTCAGGAAAGGCCATAATGAAAGAAGGGAACTTAGTGCTTTCAGAGAAAAAAGAAACTATAGATAGAATTACACTGAGTTTGTTACAAGTTTAGGGGAAGTGTGTAGTTTCTTTGGGTATTGAAGGCCAACATTAGCCTGTTGGTTTGTCCAAGAAGAGGATATAAAAAGGAAAGACAGCTGGAAAGTTACAGTATTTATTAATCTACTATGTCCCCTTTAACTTCCCTTCATCTTCTTGAGCTATCATTAAGTTCTCCGTGGTCTCTTTTATAGTTATTAAACTTCATTTAAATTTTTGGCAATAAATACTTCTTTGAAGATGAGGATCTGTATGAAAACATTATTCTGGGCTTGTAAAAGTGGTGTAGGGGGTGTATGTGAAAGAAAAGTACATAAAACACAGTTTTTCTTTGCTCTTTTAAAGGTCACATATTAAATTCAATACCCAAAGCTACACTGAGACCTCAGAATTATTTGGGATATTTAACAAGCCCATTTTGGATACCTAGTGGTGGTATTAGGTAGTACTAGGCAATAAATGGGGGCACAAATGAATTAAAAAACATGGAAGCAAAATTTGAATGTGAGGTACAAAATAACATACTATAAATCAAATACAGGAGTACAAAAGATTCAGACTACACAGCATGAGTGAAATGGACTTGTTTTCTGATGTTTCCAGGACTAGGTAAGTTTTGAAACCATTATGAGATCAGTATCATTTACGCAATCAGTATTACAAATGCAAAATAGTTATGTGAAGTCCTAGGTACAACAAATGGGTAGAACTTTGCGCTTTGTAATCTTGAGCCACCTAAACTGAAAATACCTCTGATGGTTTAAAAAAAAAAAAAGAAAAGAAAATACCTCTGATAGTTGAGGAACCAGCCAGCCCATAATGAGGATATTAGAGAGCCACAGGACTGGTGAAAGACCTTGAAATGTAGTGATACAGTATGGAAGGGATGGGGAAGAGAAGTCAAATGAGTTTCTAATTTAAGCTTGCCATCATCATCAGAAAGCATTCACTAAGTGCCTCGTCTTATGGTGCTGTGTTTGAGAGCTTAATTCATTGTCTGTGTGTATGAGGAAGTAAATGACTTTCCTTGTATCTTCAGAGGGGCAGTAATAGTGTTTATCAGTCACTTAAAGAATTAACCCTCCACAGTACTGGTTGGTTTGCAACCATGAGGATAAGTAGCTGCTCAAGAGCCCAAAAAGAACCTCCATGAGTGTTAAGTACAAGAGCTAGCTAGGCTTTGTGCCCAGAAGAATGTTTTTTGCCCTTCCTCTCTTGTCATCCTCTTGGGGTATTTGTGTGTGGGTGGATGAGCAGTATAGTCAGAAGTTCTGGAAATTATTCAAGAACATTGGTCAAATTTTTTAAATCTGTTTTTAAGTCTTTTGGTTTAAGCCTTTTTATTGACAGTAGTTTTCGTGACCCATTCACTTTAAAATGTTTTAAATGTCAATGTTCTAGTCAAACAAAAGACATTTCTCTTGCCAAGTTAGTGAGATTGGTTTCTAGGCTAGGGAGTGTTATTCTTTGGAATTAAAAAATGCCATGACTGAGGAATTTAAATAGCTTTTAAAAAGACTCTAAAATTGAGGCACACTACTTTTTATCCAGAATCAATATTCAACTTCTAAATTTTCTAGCAATTAATGTTTTGTTAGACAATTTTTAGGTATCATACAATTCAAAAAGAAAGTCATACTTGGGATTTTTTTAATCAAAAGAGAATTCTTAGAATTTTATTAGAAAATATTGACCAATTTTGAGAGTCCCAGAAGTTGTGAGCCAAGGCATTTGGGAAAGCCTTGTGAAGAAAGAAAGCAAGTGGTTTAACTATATTAGATTTGTTATCACTAAAAAGCTATTTTTAAGTAGCAACCCAAAATCAGTCTTACAGCTCATCATTCATGAGCATTAACTCTTAGCATTAGTTTTGCAAATAATTGCATATAGTATAATGTTACCATGCCTAGAATATTCAGTTATGTGAAAAAGGAAAAAAAAAAATATTTGCCATTAGTATAGTCCCTTAATGACGCTAAGCTAACTAACATAGCTGTTTATTTCCCTGGATAGGAGAGTTGCAAAGTGCTTGGGGATTATGGATTAAAAATGCTTGGTTGTGTTCACAGTTTTACAAGTCATTCCCAGTGGTGATTTTAAGTTTCTGAGGACCATGTTCTAGTATTCAATTTGCTGATATCACTCTAAAAAATACAGATGGCTCATGACATAATTTTTATAAGGCACTTGTTTTAGTTCATGCTTAATTATTTTCAACTCTTTTTTAAAGGCAAATAAAAAATTGAAATTGGAAAATGGTGGCCTGGTGAGGGAGAATTTACGACTGAAGGCTGAAGTTGATAACAGATCACCCCAGAAGTATGTATTTTGCTCATAAAGCAATGTTTCAGATGATGTCAATGTTTTAGAATAAGCTGCTATTATTGTATGTGTTTTTCATTTGACTCTTTTCATTGAAACATGTAGATTTAAATACAATGTCTTGCCTGTAAAAGTCAAGTGTATACTTATGTTATTGGTGAAATCTTTGTGTCATTTAAGGCTAATTTTGAAGAAAGGATTTCATTCTTATTCTTTTTCCTTATCTGATTAGCAGGAGGATTGTTTTATGTGACCTAAGACAGGAAAAGTTTCACTTGGTTTTGTATGTAACTGTTTAATAGTACTAACAGAGAGTAGGGCGATTAATGTAATGCCCTTTAGATATTCTCTGAAAGAATCTTGATAGTAGTTAACATATGTATAGTGCTTTCTCTTTGCCAGGTACAACAACCTGTGATGTACTATTAGTGTTCTCCATTTACAGATGAAGAGACAGAGGCATAGGGAGATTAAGTTAATTTATCCAATCTGTACAGCTAGTAAGTAATGGAAATAGGATTTGAACCCACGTAGTCCAGTCCCAGAGTCCATGCTGTATTACATTACAGAGAGAACCATTACACTATTACATTAACCATTATACTAAAAAGCATATCTGAAATAGAGTTTAAGGCATTATTTGTTGAATTTTAGACTGATTTTAATTATACAATTAAGTGAACCTATTCTTCCTTTATGATGGGATAGTTTTCATTCCATTCCAAGTAAGACAGTACAAGTATTGCCCTGTTTAACAGTTTGTTTAAAATTATAAGAAACAATTGAGAGTTGAGAGTTAAAGATGGAGAAAAGATGGGAGATAGCACTTGAAGTTTTTCTTCTTCAGGGGAAAAAAAAAGGTAAGCAGAGAATATAGCCTTCCATCCCTCTGTGAGGGGTGGCATATCAGAACTCCACACTTTCCTTCTGTAATGACTAGACTTCATTTCTTCCTACTGGAAAAAGGCAAGGCAGACATAAGCAGCTGGAAATTTGTCCTACCAGAAGTAACTCTCTGCTTATCATATGAAAAAGAGAAAACACTGCGTTTAGTAAAACCAAGTGTGGTATCACGAAATGGTAGAAGTAAACCATAATTACTCAAAGCAGAGATAAAAATAGAGAAAGAAGCATAGCTTTTACTTTTAAATAGTTCCTTCCCCTGTGCTTTCCAACCTCATTTTTCTTTCACTTCAGATAATGTTCTACTTTGACAAATTAGTGAAATAAGCTTAGGAAATGTTGCTGTTATGTGGTGGTTTGAATCTCTGCTCCTCTCATTTATTGGCACCTCGCCTTGCCAGTCATAGTAATGCTTGTCCATTAGCTGCATTTCCCAAAGTGTGCTGAATGGAACTAAAGCTATTTTGTCTGTAGCTTTTATTTCTTGAAAAGTTGCCCACCAGATTTCAGATTTAATGCCAGCCACCAGGATGTGTTTTTAAATATCCATGGTTCCAACCTGATAAGTAACGGAAGAATCTCACCTGAAGAAGCCTGGCCTCTGACTATCCTAACAAACAGCCACACTTCTGAAACCCATATAACTTTAGGAGTTGCTATCTTTAACTTCCATTCCTTCCCTTCAGGGGAAGGGAACAGTTTAACTTAAAAAAACGATTTGAACTGACCCCTATTCCAGATCAATTTGCAATGCATTGAGGTATTAAATGCATTGCAGTTGATTTATAGCTTTGTTTACTCTGCATCACCAAACCCTAGTGGGATTCAGAGAGAAGCTGACCACAGCTGAAAATACCCAGATCTGGTTCACCTGAAGAGAACTTCTATTTGTTTTGAAAAAATATGAAATTTCAAGAGTGTAAAAGTAAATGCAAGCAAATAAAACCATCTGTTCCATTTTGTTCCCTTGATTAGGAAGTTCCTTAACCAATTATTTTTCTTTTGTCTACTTGGTTAGGTGTCAAGGTATCCTTTTTATGCACATAGCTTTAGTTTCCAATGTATCCTTCAAATTGCGCATATTCTACAAATCATGCAGAGGAGAGAGCTTTAAGATTTAGATACTAGAGAGGAAAAAATTTAGAAAAGTGTCATTGTCAGCTTGGGCTATCACAGCAAAATACTTAAGACGGAGTGGCTTAAACATTGAATATTTATTTTCTCACGGTTCTGGAGGTTAGACATCCCAGATCAAGGTTCAGCAGTTTTAGTTTCCGGCAAGGGCTCTCTTGACTTGCAGACAGCCACCTTCTCACTGTGTCTTCACATGTCTGAAAGGGAGTTTTGGTCTCTCTTCCTC